ACACAAGAGATTATAACAAACACCTTGTATCATAATCTCATGAACTACCACGCACAAACATCCCAATTCATACCAATTGGATTGACATTTCCCCAATATGTCTCCTTCTGTGGATGCTGAAGCGGATCACCATAAACCTCGCTCGTACTTGTTAAAAGAAACCTTGCTCCAACTCTTTTTGCCAGACCCAACATATTAAGAGTACCCATCACATTTGTCTTGTAAATCCATGGTTAAGGATCTCCAACACAATATTCACCAAATCAAATAATCCAAATGCACCATTTCTACTAAGCTTTTCAAACAAAAATTGATAATAATAACAGTAACACCCACATGAATTAGAATAGTAACTACGCAATATATGATCCAGATTCTGAAAAGGAGAATGAAACGAATTTAAAATGAAGGATATAATAGTCTTGACTGGATTATACTTGTAATGTACCGGAGAGGCAGGGCAAGCTAAGTGATAGATCTGATCGACCTCCAAGAGTATTGGCTCAACGACGTCGTGACGAATAAGTTCAAACCTCGGATTTCCGAACAAATGAACCAAGTTCTCCTTTCTCCCAGTGAAGAAATTATCAATCACGATTACTTCATCACCTCTCGAAATAAGCTTGTCGACAAGATGGCTTCCCACGAATCCGGCTCCACCCGTAACCACAATTCGCATTCTACGCCGTCCGACCCCGACTGGGACTCGACCCACCTTCCCACCGGGCATGAAACTCTTGGGATAAGAACCGGAATCAACGGTGCGGTGAGAGAAAGATCTGGGCAGCGTAGAATGGCTTTCATTTGGACCTATACGGGACAGGGTGGGTTGGAGGATGAAGAAGGTAGACCCAATCAAGACACCCACAAGAATGAAGAGAAGCCTCTGTTCCTTGAAGAGGTAGTTGATAGATCTGGGGAGAGATCTCGGATGCTTTAGGGTTTTTGGTGAGTACTGCGACGTCTGGCTGACGGGAATCTCTTCATCTCGCTTGGCGGTTGGTTGCTTGTATAACTGCTTCATGGTTTCGAGCTGGCTTTGGTTTTAGCCTAGGATGCAACTACTTTTTACTCATATAGCTTCTGAGCTTCGAGGATCAGAAAGAAAACGCTCAATGAGACAGAATTCACGCAATGAAATCGGGTCCGATCTGAACCTGCAAGATAATAGATCTAGCAATGGATATTGGCTTTGACAAACCAAGCTTTGCGTTCGGCACTGTAAATTGCAAGAGAAATTAGTAACACAATAGCTGAAAACACTATTTTCCTACAGTATTTTGTTCTTCTTCTTCAATCGAGCGAGCGAGCGAGCAATCAATACAGAGGAACTTTCTGATTATGGACAGGTAGCAGCTATATATACGTGTTGTGCAGTGAAAAGGTACGATTTTGGCTACAATCTACTGTATTGCAGCTTAGGATAATTTACTGTACCCTCTCTGTATGGCCAAGCGATTTTAGCTCACTTCTCTTTGATGAAATCTTGTGGCAACCGTGGATAATCACTAGTATAACCATGAACCGGGCTTAACAGAATATTTTCCTTTTTTGTTTTTTTTCTTAATAATCAAAATCTTGCTTAGATGACGGTGTCCGTTAATGGTTTTTTTTTTTTTTTTTTTAAATTCCTGTAATAAATACTTTTTATTTTTTGGACAAATAAAACATTTCGATGAGGAGCTAAAAAAAATCCATTCCAGTTTAGTAAAGAAGAATTCATAATTCAGTTATTTTAAAAGTCAATTTTAGTTTTTTTTTTTTTAACCCTTTTTCTGCATACGCTTTTTCTTTTACTGATAATAATATTTTTATTGAAATAAATTAAATTAAATTAATATTTTATTAGGTATACTTTCCTACAACATTAAATTAGATAATTTTTTATTATTAAAAAATTACACAAATATTAATTTATTAACTGCCACATTCTTTGATTTAATCATTTATCTCACCTAAGTTTGATAATTAATTACTGATTAACTAAAAGATAAGTAAAATTATTCACATCAAACTATGGAAAAATCATAATTATTTGAATATATTAACGAAAATATATCAACAGATATAAGGTTAAAATAAAATTATTGTTTTTTAATTTTAGTTTTTCTATCAATCATAATAAGAAACAATAAAATAAATTTTTTTTTTTAGGTGAGAGGATGATGATGTACTCTGTGGTCTGGGAAAAGATGTGTGTTTGTAGTGTATGCATGAAGGAAGAAAAAAAATTGGAAGAGAGAAAAATACTGACTATATATATATATATATATGTACGTATATATATATATATATATATAGAAAACTAAAAAAAAATTAGAATGAGGATGATACCCTGTGCGTGAGAAGGAGATTGAAGATATACATATACACATATGTGTATATGTTCATATATATATATATATATATATATACACACATAACCAACTCTGTGGGAGAGCAAGACCCTTCTATTTTATTATTATTTTGTTTCTTATTTTCTCTCTCATGATGATGATGATATGATGTCATCTATTTTGTCTTTTAATTAAAAAAAATTAGATGTTAAAAATAGAAATTAAATCATTGACCTCTCCAACCATATTCTTAATTTAGCACTTTCATCACCATTGGCCAACTCAAAATATTGATGCATGTTTGTGTTTTTGAACATATTTGTTGGTTGGGATTACCAATAGTTTTTTATGTATGCACATTATTTTATTTATTTAAACAGTATTACAGTATTTTGTAATGTTGTTTTATTATTACTATACTAATATATATTAATTAGTTTATGTATATTAGTTAGTTATATATTTTTTATTAAATTAAAAGAACTACATATATCTATGTGATATTTTTTATACTAATTAAGTTTGATAAAATTAAAGTGTTACATGAATATGTTCTATTTAATTTTTATTTTATTATGATAATTAAATTATCATATTTATAATTTATATCATATGTGATAATTATGAGCGTCGTAAAATTTTCGAACATGTGATATATATATAAACAATGAAATTTTGATAATTTAATTATAAAAAAATCGTGTCTAATGTCCATTTTTTTATATATTTGTAGAAATAACAACTAAGAATATGATTACTGATTTATCCATCAACGAGAAGTTGGATGGGATAAATTATGATATATGGTATACGAAGATTCAATATCTTCTAATGAGTGCAAGATTTTGAAAACCT